CACTAGGGAGAGTGGAGAGAAAGGTGCCATCGGCCCCAGAAATGGAGGAGCTGGGGAAGGATGAAGGAGTGGTGCTGGAGGCACTGGCCCCTCCTGCATTGAAAGCATGCCCAGTGGTTGTAAAGAAAATAAAGACCCAGCAGCTGAAAATTCCCCAAGGAGGAGCAGCTCCCTCCCCAGATCATGGAGCACTCTATAGTCCTCCCCTATACTCAGGCTGAGCCAGTGGCTGTGGGACTTCGGGATGGATGGAATTGTTCCGTCGGGATCAGAAATGGGACAGCTGTCTTCCCTAACAGTGCAGCCTGCCTGAGGCAGTGATTACAAAATGCGAGGTGACACGTACAGTAGCTGAAGCAATGAGAACCCGGAAAGAAATAAGACCTGTTACTCACAGGAGGAATTTGAGGGGCCTCATGAGGGTTACAAGGACCCAGATGTGGGTTGATTGGATACGGGCAGGAGTAGATGGAAGGAAATTAGATTGGAAGCCAAATAGGACCTTACTGGAGCTATGGCAACAACTGAAACCAGAGCAGCAGTTCCAGCCGTTAAGACCAAAGAGGCAGAGGTCAGAGACAGAGCCATGAGGCCGGCCCGTGTGTCTGCAGGACTTTTTGCTGGAGAGGCTGGAGAACAATGTTCAAGCTTCCTTGCACAGGGACCATTGCAGAGGACTAAGGGCACAGAGATTGGGAGGAGAGGAGAGAATCTTGGAGGGGTGGAGTGTGGATAAAATGAGAGTTCCTGTGGCCAGGATTCTCACCTGGCCATGGTTGACTACCTCATGCACACCTGTGGGCAGTACATGGCTGTTGGCTCTATAAAAAGATCTCTGCCCAGTGCTCTGAGCACGACACTGTGGCAGGGCTGCAAGGCTGCAGGAGAGCAGAGGCTGGAGTGGTGGCAGCACCGAGGACAGAGGCCCAGAGGAAGGCTGCGTGGGACAGCTGTGCGGACAGAGAGGCCCAGAGGACGGCTGTGCAGGATGAATCTGCAGAGAGGCTCAGAGGACAGCTGTGTGGGACAGCTGTGCAGAGAAGCCCAGAGGACAGCTGTGCAGACAGAGGGGCCCAGAGGCAGAGACCGGCTTGCTGCTTGCAGACTCACTCTGAGTGAATGGGATTCTAGTGACTGACCTGCCACCTGGAAATAAAGTTGGGTATAACCCTTTCACCCCAAGAACGTTTTGCTGTCATTTTCTTTGGTCACACAGAATCCATAGCGAACTTGCCTGGGGCTGAAACCCATTGGCAAGACAATTGCTACATAAAAATCAGGGTTCATTTATTAGAAATAAAAACTAACCCTTTTGTGAAGAGACCCCACAGGCAGTGATGATCTCCAATTTAGGTCCACTCTGGGCACACCACAAAACTGTTTATTTTTTTATTGTCTCATAGAGCATCTTTGGTCAGATAGTGAGTGTGGATAAAGTGAAGGTTCCTGTAGCCAGGATTCTCACCTGGCCCTGGTTGGCTGGCTCACTACACATCTGTGGGCAATACGTTGTTATTAACTCTATATAAAAGAGCTCTGTCCAGTGTTCTGTGTGACACAGTGGCATGGCCACATGGCTGCTTCAGGGCTGCACAGCTGCAAAGACTGGGGTGGTAGCAGCGCCAAGGACAGAGACAGACGGCTGCGGGGGAAGAGGCCCAAAGGCAGAGACCGGCTTGCTGCACACAGACTTGCCCTGAGTGGACGGTATTCTAGTGATTGACCTGCCACCGTGGGAATGAAGTTGGGTATAAACCCTTTCACTCCAAGAATGTTCCATTGTCATTCGTCAGTCTCACTGAATCCTGGATTTGCTCAACTGCAAAGACCACACTCCCAATTGCTGTTCTGCTGCTCCCTCAAGACACACCACAGCCAGAGAACAATTGGTAAAAGTTGGATGAGCTTTTCTCTCTGCTCTTCTCCCCCTTCACACACAGGCTAAGGTACCCCTGAATTTGTTAGGGGCTGAAACCCATTGTCAAGACAGTGAGTGAATTTCTCTGAGAAATCCAGCCTGCACTGTAAGGGGGCAATTCCCAGCTTCAAGCTCCCAGCAGCTTCTCCCAGCCCACCTCCAGCTACTCACTTAATTTCCACTTCCCTCCTCATTAACACCTGCAGGGGGCAACAACCGGCCTCTGGCTGGCAACTCTCCCAAGGTGTTGGGACAAGGCTGACATTGCCCACTGCATCATCACCTGGCCACCTGGGGATTAGGTGGGACATGTAGCAACTACTGGCCACCTGTATACCTAGACTTAAAAAAAACATTTTATCTCCAGTATCCACAAATGGCCTTTTAGATGAAGGCATTCTAGCTCAGTGGTGAAGAGCAGGGGCCCTATTGTCTCCCAAGATGGTTCAAATTCTGTCTCTTGCTGTTTAACATTGGTCAGGTTACTTTCCTTCCCTGGGCCTTAGTTTCCCTCTTTGTAAAAGGGAGGCAGTGACAGTATCCATTTCTCACAGAGGGGTTATGATTTTCTGAGAGAACATGTAACACGGTTTGCCAGCGCAACAACCAAAGAGCAATCAATATACAGTCTGTCATCAACTACCTCTGTATTGCCCAGGGCCATAGTTAGGAGTGGAAAATGTCCAGCCAGGCAGTGAGGGACCTGGACGAAGGAGCTAAGTCGCCTTTAACAGGATGGGCAACGTATTGGGAGTCCTCCATCCCGCTGGAAGTCTTTGACTCCATGACCTCACCCCCAGCCAGGGGCTCCCTGGAACTCTGTGCTGACAGGTTCAACTCTTAGATGCGACTCTGGTTCTTTTTAGGATGGGGTGCCTACTCCCTTGGGGGTCACTGATGCCTGATACAAGCTAAGAATGCTTCCCCCAGAAAAAATTATCTTCAACTTGTACAACAAATGTGATTTGGGGTAGGTATCAGGAAAAGGTTCATGGACACCTGAAACCCATCCATGCATTGAATGCAGACGTGGCCACACAGACCTCAGTGATAACTTGACCCACCTCCAATCTAAAGAAGGAAGTGGACAGGCTCTTGTCCTTGGGTTCCCTGCACCCAAACAGGGTGTTTGAGACTGAGTTAGGGCTTGGGGCGCTGCAGAAAGGAGGGTGCGGGTATGACGCTGAGTGCCCAACTCTACATTATTATAAACGATTAGGGTAATTACAATTAACTGCCTCTCTTACCATGTACTAGCATTGTCTCCTTAGATCCTCCCCACCAGTATCACTGTTTTGCAGATGTGAAACTGAAGGTCCAAGGTGACAGTGGTTAAACAGTGCCAGTCCCAGATGCAAATTCAGCTTGGTTAGACTCCGACACCCATTTCCCGCTATCCTGGTACTGCTTACTAATAAACCTAAGAGGGAAAGGAGCCAATTTAGGACATCACTTTCTCCATCAGTCTCCCTCCAGGCAGGGCTCTTCTTTATACTGTAAAACAATGAAGCCCATTCACAACAATGTGAATGTACTTAATGTCACAGACCACTTAAAAATGGGTAAAACAGTCAGTTTTGTTATGTATATTTTACCACACACACACACACAAATGAGGCAGAAAACCAATCCTCTATTTTACAAAAGGGGGAAACTAGAGAAATTCAACTGATAAGCCTGGGACACACGGAATTGGAAAGCAGGGTTTGAGGGACCCCAACTGAGTTTTCCAGACTCACAGACTGTCAAATCACCACAAAAACGGAGGGAGTGAACTGGCAGTCACACGCCAACCCCACCCCCAACCCCCTGACAGCGACCTTTGCCCAGTCACCCCCCTCCCCCTACTCCCCAGTTTTCTGGCGGAGGGGCCAAACATTCCAGTAATTTTCAAATTGCGCCCCCACCCCCACCCCCACGGGTGTTCCTAGTCTGGCTGGTCCTCAGATGACCCTTCCGGAGAGGGTCACCAGCCGTCTGACCTCAGACTCTGCAAGCCAGGCAGCTAGGAGACCCCACCCCCGGACCACAAGGGGCTGGCGGGTGGCCAGTTAGATCAGATTATCGGATGTGGATTGCGCCCCAGCCCGGACGAGGATCGTCTGGCCCCGGCAGGCGGAGGGAGGCAGGGGTCTGCCCCCAACACGGGGTGTCAGGATGTGGATTGTGCGGGGTGAGGAGGCCCCGCAGGAAGGGCTCCCTGCCCAGCTCCCCCTGCTCCCTGCCCAGCTCCCACCTGCCTGCCGCGCCCGGGGCCCAGAACACGCTGCCCGTCCTCGAGGGAGATAATCCCAGGTCTCCAGGGTCGCTGACACCCCCGTCCTACCCCGGCCCCCGCCAAATCTAGACGCTGAACCTAGTGTCACCGGCACACTGGCACCGCTCTAGCCTGGGCCTGAGAACCCAAGCCTGCCTCAGTTCTCAGGTTCGAGGCACCCCACCTCTAGTCCGGATCCCTGAACCCTAATTCATGATGCTGCATGCTTGATACCCGGTTACGAAGCTACCTCTCAGCCTGAGGCACTCCCAGAGCCAGACCCTGGGGCCCATTCACCCTCGCTCGCAGAAAGAAAAAATAAATACATGACAAAAATTGTAGCAGCAATCGCTGTCATTTATTACTCTGCCCGGTTTCGTGCTAGGCTTTTCAAGTGCTCTGCCGCCTACCTCTCGCTAGTCTGACAAGGCAAATGCTGTTATCCCTACCCTACAGATACGCACGGGGGTTATGTAACAAGACCGCACAGTCAAGGACTGGCGCAATCAGGCCCCCACCCTACGGCCCGGCTCCCTACCCACCCTAAACCAAGACCCAGAGCGCAGAGTTCTCGGCCCGGGACCCATCCCGGTTGTCAGAATCGCCTCCACCCAACATCCCTGAGCCCCATGCCCATGCTACTGCAGCACCCAGACCCCGACCCCGACCCCGGACGCGCCCTCCAAGCGCGACTTCCACAGCGCTGCCCAAGCACAGAGCAGCAGTCCCCCGCCCGCTCCAGCGCCCTTCCTGAGTCGCGAAGCGGGACTGCTGGCCCCAGCGCCCGGGGTGCTTGGCGGGCGGGAGTGGGGTAGCGCAGCCTACCTTGCGCCTGCAGGCTGCGGATGATGTCCGCCCGGGGGAGTGGGTCGCGGTAGAGGCTCAGCATATACGCTAGAGGTGACGGCGACGAGGGCTGCCCCCGCGTATGTAGGGTCGCCGCCGCGGCGCCAACCTGGAGCAGGACCCACCCGGCGTGCACGAGGAACAACAGCAGGCGGTGGGCGTGCATGGTGGGCTGGCGGAGCTTGGAAGTGCGCCTCCTTCTCCTTATAAACTGGGCCCTCGCAGCCGCTCCGCCCCCACTGTTCCTTCCTGGGGGAAGCTGTAAGATCATACACCCCCAGCCCCCACCCCCGGGGCGGAGGCATGTGGCCCCCCAGAGGGACCACCTGCTGGCGGCGGGCAAGACCCGGATAGGGAGGAGACCCGCAAAGCCGGAGGAGCCTTTAGGTCCAGGGACCGTCCAGTTTGCTGGGTCTGGACGCCCTGACACTCTTCTACTCCAGATACTGAAGGCCTTGTTTCTGAGACACAGCAGTTCTGTTGCTGGCAGATTCCCAGGTCAGAACTGTGGCTTCGTTGCTCAGCTTCACCTGGGACCCCTGCTTTTTCCTGTCCCTCCAGGCTTCAAATGGATGTCTGGCTCAACAAGGAGTAGGTAGGGAATGGCGGTGGATCCTGGCGGCTCTCAGGCAGGGTGCGGCCCCACACTGGCCTGGATCCTTCAGCCCAGCCTAGCCAGAGGCAGCCTTCCAGGACACTCACTGTCCAGAGGACCTCTGGGAGCACCCCTGGCCTTGTGAGGGAGCATCGGTCTGGAGGGCAGCCTCTGAGAAATTACTGGGTGCTGGAACAAACGTGAGCTCCAAAGGAAGGCCCTCCTTCCAATACTGAAGTGCTCTCCTGGAGAAGACGGGGCAGGAGTGACCGGGATGAAAGGAAAGTGTACAGCAGAAACTGGAACCGGTGCCTAACTAATGGGGTTATCCTGGTCCCCAAGAGTGGGGCACCTGGGCTCTTCCCTTCACAAGCACAACTCACCCGTGATCTCAGTTAAAAGGTGTGGCCCATGATGTCCACGTCCTGCATCCCCCGTCTGCTCGGGCACTTACCCCAGGAGACCTGAGTTTCAGCTCAGGACTCACTTCCCTCCCTCTGGGCCAGGCTTTCCTCATCAGCACAGGAGGGATCCCTGCCTGCCGCCCTTCGAGACACAAAGGCAGGTCAGACCTGGAATTACCGTTAAAGAAATGTAAATCCCTACCCCTAATCCCGCCCAGAATATTTTCCTTAACACAGAAGGGCTCTTTGCCCCACCCCCAACCTGTCATTTCCTGCTGACTCACATTTACTAAAACCCTACGAGCGGGGCACTCTCGGCTTCTTTTACTTCATTCCTCGAGCAACAGAGAACCGTGGGCTCAGCCCCGAACAGGTGTTAGACAGTGGGAGGAGACCCAGCCCACTCAGCCAGGAGCTCCAAACCCGTGTCTGGGTGGATGCCTGCCACCCAGCAGGAAGGGACCACGCTTAAGAGAAACCTGAGTTGCAGACCCACTGGCCACTGGACCTGGACAATCTGCAGTTGAACGACTGTTAGGTCCTTAAAGCTGGGGCTGTCTTGTTCATCATGCTCTCCCCACAACACAAAGAATCTCAGCTAATCAGTGGATGGCACCGTGTCCCGACTTGCCTGAAGATAGGTATTATTACCTGGAGTGTTCGTTAAACTGATTCCTGAGTCCCAACGCAGACAGTCAGAATTAGAATTTTCAGAGAGAGCTTGATAATCTACATATTTAACAAGTACTTCAGTGATTTTTACCAGTTTTGAGAACCTAGTGAGCTAGGGTTCTCGTTGCTGTTTGGAACCCCCCTCTCTGCATTCAGTTTCCTCATCTGTAAAATATGACTAGAAATACCTCCTTCCATGCAAATTAAATGAAATAATGTAAAAATGCATTGAAAACTCTAAAGCCTGGGTGTATTTGTAAAACCTTGTGCACATGGATGTTACTATGGGTGCTCTGTGACCTGACTTCCCTAGCCTGGGGCTTGGCTGGCTCAGGAATATCACCCCTGGCCCTCTGCATCAGACCCCTCCCCAGAGGCAGAAGGCACCCTCACCCAGGTTATGAATATATAAATAAAAAACAATGACAGATTGTGGTTAGTGCTGCAGGAGTCCCTGAAAAAGACATGGGAACCAAGGATGGCAACACAGGGGAAGCACATATAGCTAGACAGAGGTACAGGACTCAGCCTCCCTAAAACCCAGATCTCCTCAGTTTGCACGTGTCCTAGAATCCAGATGGTCCCTGTTTAAATACAGAGCAGTCTTATCCACCAAGATTGATGAAGGACCAAAAAAGATGATCTATCTACTTCTACACTGGACCAGAAGCTTCTTGACATTAGGGATAAAGCTTTATTCATCCTGTGTCTCTTGCGCTATGTGGCACATAGAAGGAGTTCAATAAGTGCTTCAGTTAAAATGAATGATAACAATAGCTAGCTTTTATTCAGCACCTAACGCAGTTGGCTAATCATTGCATTAATTTTATCATTGTCTCCATTTCAGAGATGAGAAAACAGACTCAGAGGTAACAGGTATCTTACTCAAGAGCACACATGTATAAATGGGAACAGTCAGCATATGAAGGGCAGATCTTCTTGCTATCCAAACCCATGCTTTTAGCCCTATTATTTCCCCATAGATGAGAGGGTGAACCTGTGCCCTGTACAAAGACTAAAAACGCTCAGTCTCACCTTTCCCAGGGTCCAGGAGCTGCAGACAGAGCTCATTTCTGATGTGTATTGGCCCAGAGCCGTGCAGGGGCCTGGAACTGCAGTCTGACCAGCAAGAGCACCCTCTGTCAAAGCCCATCCATCACTGAACTTTCTCTGGCCCGGGTACCCTGGAAGAACCTGAATCTCTGACACCTCTTCAGGATAGAGGCTAACAGGCATCCTTCTCATTTGTTAAGGGTATTTGTTCATCCAGGACCTATTTCCTGCAAGAAGGATCAGAAGTGCCCTCCTTCCAGGTGGGGAATGACACCTTCTCACTCCCCCTGCCCCAGACAGACTGACCGACAGATTACCTGACCCAGGAGATAACCTTTCAGGACCATCCCAGCTGGCTGGAGGGTGGGGGGCAAAGTCCCTTGAAGTTCTTGAATGCTTTCCATCAGGCTGTTCCAGACCCAACCTCGACAGAAGCAATGACTGTGGCATGGTAAGTGCTGGGGCTCTGACATCAGTCCTCCAGGAGGCAGAATCTGGATCCTTCTCTTTCATTACCTAGGCATATTAGACTAGTCACTTATCATCCTGAAGTTTTTGTTCCCTCAGCTGTAAAATGGAGGTAAAGAATAGTATCTACTTGACAGAAATGTTCCAAGTGGTAAATGTGTGTTAAGCACAAAGTCCATGTCACATTTGGCCATCCATATACTCATTCATTGAATAAACCTGCTTATCTAGTGAGCCTGCAGCAGGTTAACTCCAAGAGCTGGATTCTCAGGGAGTCTAGGCAGGAAGGTATTTCAGTTCTCTAAGCATTTAATGAGCATTTCCTGTCCACTAGTGTGATACTTGCTGCCACATATATGTTAGCCTACATAACCTTTGTGGCCCATGTAAACCTACATGATCCTCTTCACTCCTCAATGAAGCTCTGTGAGGTATGTAAGGCATTTTAGAGATGCAGAAACTGAGGCACAGAGGAATTAAATAGCATAAACTTTGTGAGGGTGGAGGGCATCTACTTTGTCATGTCTCTCCAGTGCCTAGCACAGCTCCTGACACACAGGAATCTAATGAACATTTATTTATCAATTGACTGAATGAACTCCATCTTCCTGAAGCAGGTTCCCAGGGTACCACCTCTGCATTCACAGGTTCCTGCATATAGCCTCCTCTGTTTCCACTCTGACCACCTGGGAAACTCCTATTTACCTGCCCAGACACAGCTTAAAAGTCACCTCTTCTACAAACCTATCACAAATGCCCCAGCAATTTGACAGAGCCCTTTTCTAAGCATGATAGAGCATTTGTCCAAACTCTATTCAGTGGCTGCTGTCTGACTGGAACTCCCTTGAAGCAGGGATGATTCTTGACTCATTTCTCTTTGAAGTCCAGTCCTTGGGTCACACAACTCATCACTGCTTGCTATGATCTTCAGTCTAAATGAATGAATCCAGTCCCAGAAATGGTAGAGGTGGGGTAAGCCCAGGCTTCTGGCTGCCACCTGCAGTATTTGCCCACCCTTTCTGTTACCCCACCCTGCTGGGCTCAGAGGCCAGAGCTGAGAGGTATGGGCACACGTGGCTCTCTGTGACCCAGAGATAGAGACCACAGCCCTCCCCAACAATGCCCTTGTATCCCAAATGCACTGTAGCGTCATGGAGGCACCCACTGTTCCCCCAAAGTTCAAAACTTCTTCCTCTGCCCAGAATAATTTTACCTCCCCTTCTTTCACACAAAACACCCCTATTTATCCCAGAACCCAGCTCAAGAGTCTCCTCTTCCAGGAAGCCTTCCTCCCATGCTCTGCCTCCCGCTTCAGGCACTCTCCCATTCCCATTCAGGCTCAGACCCCAGCCCTTCTTCTGGGTTGACGTACTCAATTCAAGCACCTAGGAGTTTTCCACCAGCGAGCCTCCTGCCCGGCTTGCTCTGTATTCTTCAGAGTGCTTGGTGAAAGGCCTGGCACTCAGTAAATGAAGGTCACAAACCATGCCCATAGCCAGCCTTGGCTGATAGCAGTGTTTTGTCTGTCCCCAACAGTGTTTTGAGAGGTTTTTATTGAAGTCGCTAACACTCAAATTCATCATTTGAGAAATGGGAAGGGCTAGGCACTTGTTTCAACATGGCAAATGTTTCCTATAGCTCCGTAGTGGCTGCTTTCTTTGGGAAATGTCTGTTTTCTAAAGTGTGTCACAGTCCCCACCACCCCTTAACTTATTGTACCCATTTGCCTGGCCTTAAAGACAGATGAATTTGAGACCCATGCTGTATGCTGGCTGAGAGAAGGGTGCTCTGGAATCAGTGAGGAACTCAGATGCAGGACTGTCCTCTGCAGGGACTAACCCTGGCTTGTGGGGCCCTGGCCCAGGCTGGATGAGATAGAAATAATCTGTTATTTAATAAGTGCTTACCATATGTGCACTAAGTTATCATATGTGCATTATCTAATTTACCCCTCCCATCAATCCTATGAAGCAAATGGGATATTTACTCTGATTTTGCAAGTGAGGAAACTGAGGCTCAGAGGGGTTAAGCCACTTGTCTAGATGAAACACCTAGCAAGTGTAAAGCTGTGATGGCCCCTAAGTCGTTCTGACTTTGGGACCCAGAATGGAAAGTACCATGTCCCAACACAGTCACTTGTTACCTCACTTGCGCAGAGGCCTTTCCCCACTTACATCATCTGCACTCTGTCACATCACCCTGTTCATTTCCTCCATAGCACTTCCACAGTCAAAAACAAACTAGTTTTATTTGGTACCATTCATTTTTAGTCTGTTCCCCTCCCCTGGCACTAGGCCATAAGCCAGATTCCTTGTCTGTTCAATTCACCACCAAACTTCCAGTACTTAGCACAGTTCTTGACAGATATTAAGTACTTAGTACCTACTTATTGAATGAATACATTTAACCCAGTCTGTGAACTGGGCAGACACAGAGGTAAGAAGGTCAGGACAGGGAAGGTGCTCCTTAATCCAGTGGCCACCAAAAAGGATATAATCCCCATAGGTCATCAGGTTCCTATGATTTCAATTCTTCCATCTCAGTGTCTGTAGGCCATGCTGGGGTACACAGTAGGTGCTCAATAAATGCTCAGTATACCTGCCACTAAAAATGCCTTCTTGGTAGTCCTGTCTCCTATGACCACAATACAACTATGGAGCCTTCTGGGCCACCCTCTCACATCCATTCTCTCTCCAGATCCTTGC